GTGAAATAAAGAAAAAGTTTAAAGAATGAAAATAAAAACGAATAAAATAAACAAATTTCCAAGTGAAACGTATTTCAATTTAATTTTGCACACCAAAGCTCTTGATGTAAATTTAAATTAAATTTAATGTTGTCATTTTTACAAAATTGTAAAGCCCAAATATATCGAATATATAATTTAAAGAGATTTAGCATTAGAAACTTAAATAGTGTTCTCCATTCAATGAAATTGCATGCAAAAACAAATTGGAATCCTCTGGCATTTGACCTCAGAGCGTTGCATTTGTTGTTGTTGTAGTTGTTATTGTTGTTGTTGCAGCTACTGCTGCTTTTTCCACATTTTCAACACAATTTTTATCCAGTGCGGGGCCACCATTTTGCCGTAAGTGTCTTTGTCGCAATGTCGTAAATAAAGTCGGGTCAGGCCTCGTCGCCGAACATTGGAATTTATGCGCGTTGATTTATTTGCTGTTAGCGATTTATTGCTGCCGCAGGATGAGCGCAGGAGACAGAGCGAAGAGACGGGCGAATAGTGTAGAGAGCCGAGCCAATGGGGAATATTTGTGATGTGTGTCTGCCAACGAGAGAGAGAGAGTGGGATAGGGAGAGCACAACGGAACAGGACACACGTACGTATTGGGCATGTCCTGGTTATGTACGAATCCGTGCGCTGCGCTCGTTATTAAGTTTTTAATTTATGGCCATGCAGCAGCTAACCGGTAATTCAGCATTTCATATTACTTTTTCCATATATTTGTTTGCCAAAAAATATATATATATATATTTTAATTGAGCCCCAGTCTCACTCTCTAATCCTTGCCCGCTCGGCCGCTCAGCTCCAGCGCCGCCTGTCAAATAAACGCCTCAGCTTGACGGCTTGACAAGCGTTACAAAAATATTGAAATTATTATTATGATTTTCTCTGACGCCCCAAAGAAAAATATATTAAATTTTTGTCGCAAACCATGCAGTGAGGGTGAGTGAGAGGTGGCAGGGCGCCGGGCCAGGGGGCAGAGGAAATGCGAACGCCATGGCGTTGGCGTTGGCGGCTTCCGTCGGCGTTCACCGGCGACCGCAGACAACTGCACACACACACACACATACACACATTAACACACCCGCTAACCGCACACAAATTCTAATTTCTCCACTCAGTCGCAAAACAACGCAAAATCATAAAAAAATAATAATATGAAAAAAAAAAAAAAAAACAGAAACCAGAATAAAATACCAGAAATATTTCTAAGCATGCGTTGACGCCAAGGACCAACGCCTGGAATGCTGCTCCCTGGTTAGCCCAGGGCTTCCAAAATGAAATTATATTTTATGTGCT